TTCCAAAGCTTGTTTTTTAACTTCTTACTTTATCTATCCATGGCTGGTCACAGTTTTATGATGGGATAAGTGCTAAATGGGTTACCCCTACCTATTTTTAAGAAAATAATTAAAATGTTAAGTTGTGTGATACTTAAAAAGTAAAAAAAAAAAAAAATATTGATTTTGTATTTCTTTTTTTGCATTACTATCAAATATAAGCCCTTACCTTACTAATATAAGCAGCTCTCCAGAAATGGCAACACGTTTCATACCTATGTACAGAGTGTTCGCCAGGAGGTATGGAAGGGCTTTGGTGTAAACTTAGAAGGTGACAAGAGTCCTGTGGCTTTCCAGAGAAAGCATGCCCCGGGCAGAGGAAGAACAAGAGCAAAGAGCCCGAGATGAAAACATTTATTAAAACCTGCTCTGTGCTAGACACTGCTGATTTCCCTGGAGATACATAGATGAGGCCACTGGCAGTCCTCACCCTCGTTTGTAGCCTGTTTGTAGTTTCCTAAAAATATTGTTTATGGCTTAGTTTATTTTTACATAAGCCCAAGCACAATAACGAACAGTTCACATTTTATTTCAATTTTCTCAAATTTGCAATGAATGTATTTTTTTTTTTTTAATCTCTCGGGCTAGGTCTAAACAGTCAACATTTCTGCACTGAGGTTTTTACACAATCGTTTCTGTAAGGGCACCTCTTGGTCGCTGCTTTCCTCAATTCTTTTGTGTTGGTGTTAGAGAGGCTAAGTGCACTACGGATACCAGAAAGAAGTAGAAAAGCTAGAACCGTAATTTGTGAGACGGTTTCTTGGAAATATTCTCCACAGAGATTGTTTTACTAGATTAATATGCTCTCTGGTGCTGAGAGGAGCAGCTTCGGCAATCTTCGAGGGTATTGATATCTGTCTCTAGTTCAAAGGGATCCACCCACAGAGAAATGACTTCATCAAGTGATGAAGTCAGCATTGTAGCAGTTCCATGAAGAATTACAAAATATTCGGGACTACTGGCCACAATCTAACACTAAACACTTTTTAAAAGTAATAAATATTGTACTTCTTAAAGTAAAGAAACACTTAGAATTTCAAATATGTTAGCAGATGTCTTCAGGTTAATAAAATCTCATTGCAATGACTCGAGGAGACAGACCCTCCCTATTTTCCGTGCTAGCAAATTCTTTGGCAAAGTCTTTTAGGATTTTGTTTGTTTGTTTGGTATGCGTTCAGTAATGTTTATCATGTGCTTCTGAAATTGCAGAATAGATTCAAGTCAAATGATGACAGTGTAAAAAGTACCAAGTCAATACTGATTTACATAGTGTATGCGTGATTTCTCATCAGCTATCAAGGATTCAAGTTGACTGATTCAATTTTACAGATTGTAATAACATTATCTGTTTTAAGGCAAATACATCTGCTTTACGTCCTTAGACTTGATAAAGTTGGAGGATCCTAGAAAATAGTTTCAGGATAGTTTTCTCTGGATTAGAAACATGTTTTCACCCGGAGAATGGTTGTTTTCATAAAAGATACCGAAATAATTACTTTAATCACACACACACATCCACACCCCTCCCCACATACTCATTAGATCTTTGAGGCAAATGTAATTTAAGTCAAATTATTATTCCTTAAACAATTGAATCTTTGAGATTCCTTCACAATTTTTCTTTTCTTGATTTCTTCATTACTTTCTAAAGACTTCTAAGTCACATCGGTATTTCATTTTATATTCCATAGAATGGCCATGCCTATAATCAGTTGTTACTCTATTTGACTTGTTCTTCACATTTAAGGTTTGTTTCTGGCATTAAGTTTGAGACTTAAAAGGAATCAATTCTATCAGTTCCCTATACTAGGAAACTTAAGACCTATCGATAACCATTACTTAAATTTTATTTATTAGGAAAGAAATTTGGCACTAAGAAGGATCAATCCTGATAGAAAAAATGTAAAGCCTTGAAATAAAAAAGAAATGACAGGTTACTTAGCTAGTGTTTTCATATTATTTTTTTCACATTACAACACTGTATTTCTGATTCTAATCCATTTGACTGGATTTTAAATTACTTTGCTCACATAAATTCACTCTACAAATATGTAATGTAGATACCAGCCAGTATTATTTTTTTCTATGGTAATATAAAGTCAAGCTGTTTGATGAAACCGACAGTTCACTTACTTCTTGAGATATAATGCACATGGGAATAATTGCTTTGAGAACACTTCATGTATAGAATGCCTTAAAAGAGCTCTTGTACTTATCGGCACAGTTTTCATTGCAACAAATTCTGCTAATGTAAAATGAATGCAATTGAATCATGACCAGTTGAACTTTATTTATTTATTTATTTGCCATTATGACAGTATTTACTATAGTAAATAAAGATGAGGAGATACTCGTGTTTAGTTTGCAAAAATAAAATTTTACATTAAGAAGACTGCATGTAAATGAGAAGTACTTTCTAGGAAGCAGGTTAAAATGCAACTAGTAGGTATAAATGAGTCCAGAAATATCTAATTTGGAAAGCATTTTACTGAAGGTTGTGAAGGGTCAACACAGGGGGAAAAAAAAAAAAAAAAACTGGGACAAATCTTGTCCTCAAGTTCTCACTTGCAAATCCCAGTGAAGCCAATGAAAAGTTTATGGAAATATCTGAAAGGCACATTTGGCCCAGTTCGAAAGCTCTATTAAATTAGTATTTTAATACATTGTCCTAGTTAAGTCTTGTCTTTACAGTCCTTTTCACATTGCTTCATCAAGAGTTCAATCATAGCTCACTCAGGAATCATAGAAATGAGATCAGACTAACAAGGGATATTTGACCTTTCATTTAATTTCAAGGATACTTTGACTCCCTAACCTCCCCAACGTCAATGCTGACAAAAACACCTGTGTGAATCTGTTGATGAATCCAAGGTAAGCTTTGTTTTTTTTAATGCTCATAAAGAGGGAAGTATGAACAGATGTAAAATGTATAATATTGATACTTCGCTTAGAGAAATTTTGTCCCTGCCACTAAACTGTATAGATATCCAATAGTATCTGATGTCATAAACATTGTTATAAATTTCATTTTATAATACCGAGTGTATAAATGTCATTGTAGGTGTTTCCTTGTAGTACAAGGAGGAAGTCAGATAACCTCGAACTTCCTCTGCTCTGTATTTACAAAGCTTTGTTTTGGCCCGGTACTGCCTAAGATGCACAGCAGTGTACCTTGTCGATGTTACTAGACTTGGTTTCTGAAAATGCAGGAGTAAAGCATCACTTCATGGCATTTGGGAGTTAGTTATCAAAGAAACTTGATTTCCTCAAAGAGGTGGACTTTGCTAAGCACCCACCATCAGGTTTCAGACCTCTCTTTGCAGGTAGAACCAATGAGACTCCAGGGAGACATTTGCTAAAAGAAGAGGAAGCCAGGTGAGACATTCTCTGCTCAAAACCAAGCCTTGTTCTGGAAGGAAAATTTGGACCATCAGTTCTGGAGCCAGATGGACTGAGTTCATATCTCTGCTCTTTCACTTACTGGCACTGTGGCTTCAGTTACTTTTGTTTAACCTCCTAAGCCTCAGTTACTTCATCCCTAAAACTGGACACAATAACAGGGTTTTGTGAGAACTGAAGAATTCAAATATCTTGAGCATTGTTTTTCTCAGCTTAGCTCTCATTATTTTATATTAAGCAGTGTCACTTAATACTTAAGTCGCTCCTCCAGCCCCCACCCCTTGAAATAATATAAGGGGCCCCGGATGGGAGAAAGGATGTGTGGAGGCAGATGCCGTAAGAAAAAAAAAACAAAAAAAAACAACTGCTTCAGTAAAAACTCCATAGACTTCTCTGCTTCTGCTTTATCTTGATAATTACCTAACGTTATTTCACAAGAAGGCGAGAGAGGCCTTCCCTTCATTATGCAACACGATCAGTGATTTCCTGCGCATCACTAGGCAGTGTCCAGCGGCAAAGGGGCCATTCGCTGCAGAAGAGGGGGTTGGGCCCAGGGACTTGGCAATGGGGGAGGCGGGGCTAGAGAAAAAAAACAAAACAGATATCACACTGCAACTGCTGCCTCTGGTTCCCGAGAACTCCCGAGACACGCCTGGGAGGTGCTCTGAAACATGGTCAAGAATTGGGGGAAGGTCTTAAGAAGTTGCCAGAAACGTATCAAATCACCAAACATTTCTTGCTTGTTTGTTACCCACCAAGCATCGTGTCGGCAATTGAAGACACAAGGACGAAGGCTTCAAGTCCCTATGTGCTTTATTCACAGGTCTAGATACATTTAAGACCACGTGCAGAATTCAGAGGCAGCACAGGCCCAGGGAATGCGACCGAACATGGGTCCCAAGGTTGGGGGCATCAAGGAAACATGAGTGTAGGCATAACCCAGCGGAGAGAGATTTCCAATAGAGGGACTGAACTTTTTGTTTTACATTTACATTTGCACCTCTTAACTAAGATTCTCTGAAAATATTGATAGCACGAACGAAATTAAGTCCTGTTTTAAAATAGAACTGATCAATTACGTGTGGCTTAAGCACAATTTCATGTGCTTACCCAGCACAATTTCAGAAATGTCCTAATACAAGAAACACAGCTCTTTCGCATGAAGAGGGACTGCATTTCTGGCTGTCTGACTAGGGAAGTGGGGCATGAACAAAATTCCCAGGGAAAGGCCTAGATGCTGCGCGCACCGTGCGGACGCAGCACACGTGTCCGCCAGCCCCGCCTCCACGCCCCGCCCCATCCCGAGCGTGCGGGGTCCTCCAACGCTCGCGAGAGCCCTCTCGGCTTCCACGTTTGCCACGTTCCAAAGGACCGGGACAGATTGCAAAGCAGAAACCGGTTCGCGCTCACAGGCGGCTGCGTGGTGCCACAACAGCCCAAAGTCTGCGTGGGGCGGAGAACCGCGGCAGAGTGCCACCCCTCACAGAGGCCCTTGTGATAGGTCCTCGCCCGCGTCACTCAGCCTTCCGTAGGCGGGGAGGAGGCGGGGCTCGGCCGGGAAGGGGCATGGACGAGAGGGCCGGCTGGCTGCGCGCTCTCGCCTCCGACGGGAGTCAGAGATTCGGCGCTCACGAGGACCGGGCGCGCGCAGCCGGCACACGGGCGAAAGTCCTCCGAGGCGCGGCGGGAGGTGCCGAGGCACAGGCGCTGCTGTAGGAGTCGCGGCCAGCACCCTCGCTGCAGCGCCCGCTGCCGCCAGCGGTCCCCGCGCCCCCCGTGCCTCCCACGCACCAGGGGAGTCCGCCAACCCTCGCCTGCTCCCGCGGTGCGCGCGATGGCCCCGCGCAAGAATGCCAAGGGCGGCGGCGGCGGCGGCGGCGGCAACAGCAGCAGTAGTAGCGGCTCCGGCAGCAGCAGCGGCGGCGGCAGCAGCAGCCCAGGGGCCCGGAGAGGTCAGAGATGGTCCGGGCGGGGGGCTGGGGCTGTGAGCCGGGGATCGGGGTCGGACCTGGGGGTGGGGTCCGGGCGGCGGGCGATGCGGTCCCATCTCTCCAGGTCCCGCCGTGCGTCTCCTCCATCCTCCGCGTCGCTCCTCCTCTTGGCGCGGGCGGAGGCTGCGCTTGGTGGGCCCGGTGAACCGGCTTCAGGGGCCCAGACGAGCGGGGTTCGTGGCCTCGGGTTGGTCACGCTGTTGAGCCCCTTCTCGGCTGATCCCTCACCTGCAGGGTGCAGCTGAGATGGAGGTTATTGGTGGACACCTTCCTGGCTTTCCGTGGGGTTGAAGATGGAAGTGAGAGAAACAATTTACTTTTGCCTCGCTTATTTGGGGGAGTTTGGAAGTGAGCCAAAGTCAGAGAAAATAAGTTCCTGCCAAATCAGCCGCTTTTAAGAGCAACTCAAAGGATAATCTACAGGGGGTGTGGGATGGTGGGGCGCGAGGAGTGATTTGAATGTTTTTGGAAATTAAATATTTTTGCCTTTATGTAGCTTTCTTAACATGCGTTGTAGTTGCCTATTAAAGATCACCATACCGTAGAATACTGGGCAAGTTTCTCTGTTATAGTCTTTTCTTTAAAAAAATCTAATGGTTATTCACCTTTCTCCATGTGCTTACTCAGCAAAGAGAGAGAGAGCATGTGTTTTAAATCTGTTTCATCTCATATTTCAGCGGTTCTCGGTTTCTTTTATACTTCTTTTGACTCATAGGCTATTGAAACTGCAATACACATGTGTATTGAATGTGAGCTGTAAACTTTCTTTTTTGAAATGATTTAGATTCTTTGTTTCCTGAGGTAAACATGTAGCGTATTCATACATATCAAGAAAATGAATCAGATAACCATAGTCCTACTTCAAAGAACTATTTGTTTATAGCATTTATCACCATCTGAAATGATCTTATTTTCATGTGTATTGTCCTGTCTTACTCTCTCCTCTTGTTCATTCTTATTCACAACTCCTAGAATGGTCCTGGCCCCTAATAGGTGCTCACTAAATATTTGATTAGTGAGTGAATAGATTTAAATGGTGAAAGCAGTGCAATTAAGTCATCACACAAGTTTATATTCTGAGAACTAATATTTGTGTTGTCAATGGAAAAGGACAGTTTGAAGTTCAAAGCAAGCATAGTAATTCACCTTTGACTTAAGAAAAAGTTTGTGTTCCTTTGACACTTGTTCTTAAATGCCAGTCAGTGGCTTAAAACAGGCAGAATAGTGTAGACGAACTGGCTCAGGTGGCTCTGGCTACACTTTTTAAAGTTTCCAATGAGAAGAGACCATTGTGCCATTTGAGGACCAACTTAGAAAGCTGGTGAACAAGACTTTGATGTTGTTTGAGGAAGTTTTCTGTATCTGCTCACAAGGGAAGCACATCTTTGTTCCATTTTATCCTTTCCGATCATGAGTAGAGAAGACGGACTGTACCTGAGGAAGTCTCGTTATATGGCCTTTTATTGGTAAGAATTAGTATTGCTAATTGTGTACATAGGGTTCCCACCCCTACTGGTTCAATAACTGAACCAGTTTTAACAGGCAGGTAATAAATTTAGGAAATGTTGTGACCTAAATGAATATATTCTGACTTTCATATTCAGGCATTTTAGGACAAGCTCTGTCCATATTTGAAGATCTACAGCCTTTTAAGCATTTTACACATTGATTCCATAATTGTCGTGAAACAGTCATAGTATGTAAAAGAGAATATATTAAAAGTCCTTGTATTACAAAACAAAATAAAAACAAAACCCCCAAAGCATTTAGAGAGTTGATATTGGAGTTTGCATGGTACACAATGAGTATTCTTTTTCTGCAGGTATTTTTTTCCAGTAAAAATTGAGTTCTGACTGTGTGCCAGGTAGAAGGTACTGGAGATGGAAATGAGGATTCTTTTAGTGGTAAACAGTCACGCTGCACTCTGACAATGCGATTTTATTTATACTATTTTCTGATAGCTGGATGTACCTGAAACATAAGGGCAGCTTCTCTTTTGTTGCTGTTCCCATCTGCAGGGGAAATCACATAATTGCAGAAATTTTAGCAATGATATTACTGTGAGGCCCATTTAGTTCTGCCTCTAATCTTACAGATGAGGAAATTAATGTCCACAAAGGTTGTCTAGTTCGTTAAAGACTATGTAGGTATTGGTAACCCACTTCATGGAAGATCCAAGGCTAGAACTCAGGTTTTCTGTTATGCAGTCATTATACCGTAATACATGAATTTTAGGTTGTCTAATTTGTAAGATTTTATCGTATCTTAAAGTAGATTAAGTTTCCTTCTGGCTCTATGGCACACTACCAGTAGTTTAGGAAAAGAGTGCTTTTGTCATATCACTAATTAAATTTCCTTTGGCTAAAATTACGTTTGAAACAGTACATTTGAAAATCTTAGTTTGAGAAGTACGTGGGCTGAAAGAGTAAGTTTTTTGAGATGTTTTGCATTGGCAGTCTTAAGCTAATGATAACATTGGTTACATTAAACATTATTGGTTAAATCTTTATATGGGGTAAAAAGGACCCAGTCTTTTGAAGCATGCCTTTTAGAAAAAAAAAGTGGTAATCTGGCCTTCTGTTTATTTTTGTTGAAAAGCGATGTTTGGAAACTGAAACTCTGGGGATTTATATAACTTCAAGCAAGTGCCTGCTTTTCATTTTACTCAGCTTAAATTTAAAACTGGTAAAATGTCTAGTAGCCTACGGAGCTCAATTTTACCTTATTCAGTTTATACTTTAAAATATAAAAAAGACATGAGTAAATTGGACATCTTACCTTTAACTTGCATATGAAAATTTGATTCGTATGGCCGAGGAGCCAGAGAAAACCAGTTTCAGATGTATTGAATTGAAAATCTTTGTTTAAAAAGGATCATGATGTCCTTTTGGACTTATTTTGCAGTACAAAGACACTGGTATGTGTAATGTTTTTGTTTAATTTTTCCCTTTTGAATATCATTCAGTCTTTTTTCCCCATATCTCTGCATGCTACAGGGATGTAACATCTGTTTATCTAATACCATCGTGCTGCTCTGTTTCCCTTTACCGGTAGGTGTCACTGTAGAACACTATTTCCTCTCATTGGAAGCTTCAGATTCTGTAACACCAACTAGTTTCTTATTTAATCAGCCTTGTACGTACTCAAAACTGTTGATGGACAACTACTTAAAAACTCTTAGCCACTACTCTCAAAAGTCTCCAACATCAGATTTTGAAATATAATAGTAAGATTTTGTCCCTAGCAGCCTTATTTATTTAAGCTTCTCTTATGTGGAATTAAATGCATTCATGGATTATCTGTAAAATTTATATATTCACAGATTCTTTTGATGAGTATTAATGATTTAGAATTTTTTTTCTACTTTCAGTATCTCTTAGAATACTTAGTAACTAATGAATGCAATACACTGCTGATTGCATTCTGGCATCCTTGAATGAAGAGGCTTTGGTGATATTCCTTCGTAAGTCCACTATCAGTTAAGACCAGCTGCTGAATCCTCTATTAGTCATTCTCGGATAAAAAACTAGGAAGAACATAATTCTTCCACTACAAGAACTGGGCACTGTTTTTGTGTTTAGTGGAATAGCATTTTGTCCATTTGGCTGGATCATATGAAGCCAAGTACTAAAATGTTCCAAGAAAATTCTTGAACACATTTAAAAAAGACCAAAAACATTTACCTGTATTGGGTTTAGGAAGTAAAAGGAGAGATTTATATTTTAGTCTTGTTTTAAAATCATGTATCTCTGAGAGATTACTAGAAAATGAGAGGTTTTCATTTTTAGCTCATTACCCCGCAGAGTAACTTCGATGAAGGCTCCTATGGGCTCTCTACCCTAGTTTAGGTAGCAGCCGAGATTTAACCCTTGAGCTCTCTGGTCCCAATAATAAACCTTTTTTTCTCTAGAAAGGCTATGTAGTTTGAGAGCCTGTTGACCTGATTCAGATTGATTTAAGAACCACGTGGCAAGTTACTCAGATTGTCTAATCTGTTTCCTCAAATGGGAAAGAATTATTCTCTTCTTTCTTTTCAGAGTTGTGATAGCCTCTAAAACCAATTTTATAGGCCTTCGTGTTTCTCAGATGTTTTTATTAAAGTACTTATATAAGGGTGAGTACAGAATTTTGGAGAATATAAGGATAAGGATATAGAGCTAAGCAGGCCATTCATTGCATTCTTGAAATTTTTAGATGACATATCGTAAAAAAAAAATCATTTTTGTTATATTCATAGCATCTGTGTTTTAAGTAAAATAGTGGTTCTAGAGGTCATTTTCGTACTGTGGCTTTGAGTACCACTTGACACTTTCTGTCTCCCTCTGGAGGTGTAAGTATCCCAGTTGCATATCAGCCTTCAAGTTGCACATTTACTACAATCCCTCTGAGGTCTGTAACATTATTTTATTTTACTAGAGCTCAGATACATTTTAGTCTTTTGATGCTCTTCCACCACACTGTTTTAATATCATGAAAATATGCAACTAAGTTTGTGTCTTGGATATTTCTGCATCTTTTAAGTGGTTTAATTTCATTCTGTGCCAAGATACAAAAAAACCTTTTTTTAAATTCTCTTAAACCCATGCGTGCATACACCCGGTCTACAGTTTACCCAAATCTCTGGGGAAAGCCTCAGCCATCTCTTGGGAGCTGCAGGGGTGCTCGGGCACACTTATGTGTTTCAGTGTCCGCTGCTGAGCATCCACTCAGCACTGCATGCATCGGCATCAGTCTGTCTGGGGGGTACACGTGTCCGGTTCGGGCCTACAGTTCTGGTCATTTCTGTTAGAGGATTAGAGATTGAGATATTCGTTTCTTCCTTCTCTTCTTCCCTGGGTGCCTCTGGGGGCATTTCTCCCAGTGCTTTCACCTTTTAACTTTCTTCTTTCTTAGTGGTCCTGGGAGCCAGGATAGTATTTTCTTGTTGTTATTATTTTTTAAAATTTTATTTACTTTCTTCT